CTGCAATCAAATCTAGGACCCTTCAGTCTGCAGGCTGATGCTCTATCCACTGAGCCAAACCGGTCAGGGCTGGGAAGAAATATTTTGAAAGTCTAAGATCAGGATTTGTTAAACTTGAGATACCCTTCAAGTGGAGATGGTACAAAGAACTAACCACTGCATATAACATTACAAGGTCTTTGGAGAACTTGAGTAAAGCAGTTCCAGTTAAGTGTAGGAGCAAGAGCATGATTGGAGTGTGGTCAAGAGAGAATTAGGAGAGAGAGCTGGGAGACAGAAAATAGAGACTTTTGCTTTTTTAAAGATGGAAGAAATAAAAGCATGTCTATGCTGATAAAAAGATCTTTGCTTTTCCAGCGATGGACCTAGCCCAATGGTTCCCTACTTTTTTTTGGCCACTCCCCACCTAAACATCTCTAAAATCCTGAAGCACCCCAGGTCCTGTGACATATAATTCTTATTATTCAAAAATTGAACTCCTATTCTCGTGGAGGAAGCCTAAGAGGTCATTAACTTGGTCTAAAGAACCTTCCAAAGAACAAGCTTCCAAAGAGCATGGCATCCATGAAAGAGAAATAAAAGAATGAAAGACAGTTGAAATACTGAGGAAGAAATTACTACGAAATTGTTGGGAAAAAAAAGAATATGAAGTGATATGAAAGAATAGCAAGTAAAGTTTCAAAAACATAATAGAGAGCTGAAATGCATGTCACAATATTTTCCCCCACTGTATCTGAGTCCCCCAAAACCATAAGAAATGCAAAAATTCACTGTTAATAACTCATTCTCGAATTGCCCCCCTTCAAAATCACATTGTCCCCCTTATGGGGCATGTGCCCCATGTTGGGAACCTAGCCTTTTCTCCCCAACTCCCTTTTTTGGACTTCAATTTTGGATATTTTCTATTTCTTGGAACCCCAACTTAGAGGAGTGTTTTAATAGGACATCTGAACTCATGTGGTGCTGAGGATTGTGAAAATAAACATTTCACATGTGGAATTCTCTTCCTCCCCAACTGTTGGTTCCCACTGCTTGGAGGAATATAACACTTTTTAGATGTGACCAGGAGTCCTTAGACTGAGTAGAATTACATTTCTCTAATTTAATTACTACTTGGGTGGCTTTTCATACTTGTCATTTGGTGCTCAATCCCAACCCCACAGATAGCTACCTTCCTCAGTTTCTGCATGACGATGGGTTCTTTACCGATCTTCAAAGAATGGCAATGACCCATGAAGCCTGAAAAACCACACTGTGAAGCCTGTGGTGGTCACTCGGCTGTTCACAGATATTTCTCCTGTTCTGGGCAGGTGGCAGGAGGGCCACAGATACGGCCATGTGATCTGCCCTGGCCAATGAAATGTGAGCTAAGTGATGTGCCATTTCCCAGCAAAACCTTTAAGAACCGGTGGGCAGCCTGCCACATTTCCTAGGCTGTCAGCAATTACGGAAGCAAGTGTGAAATGAAGCCTCTGTCAGCCAGGGCCTGAGCCGTCGCCATGAGCAGAGCCCCTTGCAAACCCTGGGTAGACTTCTATTATAGTATGAGAAATGAACTTTTAATTTTGTTAGCTTTATCTTGGGATGGCAAAACTCAACTATTCTGACACAGTGCCCAAGGACAAAAATAAGATGAACAGTGGTGTTCCAGCTCCATTACAACCAATAGATGACTCACTTCAGGATATAAAGGTTTTACTTTCCCATCCCAGGAGCAAAGAAAATTCAATCAATAACACAGGTAATAAAACTTTACCTCTCCGTCAGGTCTCCATTAAATAAAAACGATTGAACCTTTAAAATGTTAACATTAAAAAAATATATTTCTCTCTTAACCAGAAGGGGAACGTTTTTCCTTTAGAAGGCTTAGTGAGACTACCAAAAGCATTGTCTAATGTATTTCAAGCTCTGTTCTCTGGAGGCCAACTGGGTTAGATCCTCCAGGACTACTCATTCCAAAGGCAGAGTCCCTTTTGGAAGAAAGCTGTGGCTCTTAACTCCCCGGAGGTAATTTAAAAAAAATATATAATATATATTTTATTGATTTTTTTACAGAGAGGAAGGGAGAGAGATAGAGAGCTAGAAACGTCGATGAGAGAAAAACATCGACCAGCTGCCTCTTGCACACCCTCTACCGGGGATGTGCCCGCAACCAAGGTACATGCCCTTTTACCAGAATCAAACCCGGGACCTTTCAGTCCACAGACCTATGCTCTACCATTGAGCCAAACTGGTTTTGGCCCAGAGGTAATTTTTATCTTTGTTTACGTGTGTGGTATAATACAAAAATATAGTTGGTCTTTGTCCTCAGTTCCTGCTGCAGAGCTGCTAAGACCCATGGAATTTCCTGATAGGATGTGTTATTGTTATTCATAATGAGCCCTTGAGTTTATGCTAATGAGGGAGGCCACTTAGAGTGGGGCTCCGAGTTAGCCTTAGGATGGAGCTGGTAAACTGAAAGCCCCAGCGATTAGACCTCCGGACCAACCTCCGGGAACACTGAGATCTATGAACTTGAACTCTGAGATTCGGAAAGCTTTTGGGTTGGTGAGCACTTAGAAATGCTGGGAGGTTGGCATGCCCCCAAGTCCCTCCTTCCCCTTTCCGGGCCCAATGGAAGTTAAGTATTTTCTTGAGTTCTGTGAACCATTCTAGCAAATTATCTAACTTACGTGAAGGGAGTGGTGGGAACTACCCAACTTTATAACCAAGTTGGATGGGAGAATGGGTAACCTGGGACCCAGTACTAGCAGCTGGCATCTGAAGTGAGGGCAGCCTTGTGAATGTCTTAAACCATGTTGTCTAACAGGGACCTTGGGGGTTAGTGTCAGAAGTGAAGTGAATTACAGGACATCCAGTTGGTGTCCAGAAAATCAGAGGATTGGTTGTTGCTGTTGGAAAACACCCTGAAAAGGTATTACCAATATAACGTGGAAGTTCATTTCCACATACTGTCTTATTGAGTTTACACGTGCTTCAATGTTAGAGATAGTGTAAGAGACAAATCGCAATTCTGCATAAAAATTTTATTTAGTGGTCAGATCCCAACAAATAATGTCAGTCATTGCTTGATTCCGCTAAAATGTGCTATAGAAGATATGCTCATAAGAAAGTGTACAGTGCATCACCAAAAGCTGTTTAATTTGGGTTGTATAGAGTAACAGAGAAGTTCATAAACTTTTGTTCTCTGATAAAAATTTTAAAATATAAAAATGAAAACAAACAAAAAAAAACAACACACCAAAAGCAGTATTTTAGAATGATAAATGTCACCTTGGACTATTTACAGTAAGATACAGTTGTAATAGAATATTCTCTGCTTGATTATTTTCCTCACAAATTTTAAGTATTCTCACTCCTCCTATCATTCGCGTCTTCCTAGAAATAATCATCCTCCGTTCTCTCGCTCGTCTTTCTCTGATACTTCTTTTTCCCACTCTTAAATGATCCATAATTCTGTTCCACAGACATTTGGTGAGCACCTATTGTATGCCAGGCACCGTGTAGGAGGTGGAGATAAACACAAAGATGAAAAGTCATTGACACCCCCGCTCCTCAAAAAGCTGAGTTTAGGTTGAATAAAAAAAAAAAAAAAAAAGTTTTCACATTGTATTCCAGGAAATCCCAAACCCCTATAAATTTGGGGATTTCTTGAAACAAAATGCACTCAGGGAGGGTCTGCCAATGTGGTCTATGTCCAATTCTATTCTTTTCTACGAAGCACAGCCTCAAAAGACCAGGCCTACAGTTTGAGTTCCACACTCTTATTAGGTGGGGCTACCTGTCAGGCATCAGGGGACAGCTGTGCCAATTTGTAGGGGGGAGGAGGGAGAGGTAATCTTTTAATTCGCTTCCTTCAAAAGCCCTTCCCCACCACCCCCAATACAAAATCTGACCCATAGACACATAGGAAGCAGCGCTCCCCTGACTTGGACTTAAAACAAGATGCTGGGAAACTCCCGTCTTTCATGAATGGCCAGCAGGAGCTCTCTCATGACCTCCACACGCTTCTTTGTGCTTTTCTGTGAACACATTCTTAGCTTCAAACATGAAAGCAGCACATGAAGCCTGCAGGTCACCTCTTTGGGGTTTTTCCTTTTATCATGATTGAAACCAAAACAAGCTCATTTCTTGCTTCTGGCCTACCTCTTTGTCCATGAAACCTCCAGAGACCCTTGGTAGTTATTTTTTAAAAAAGAAGGCAAGCCATGAACTAGAAAACAAAAATGACAGACAGCATACTCTAGAAGCAACAGGGAAAGCACACCCTCACCGCCCCGTCCTGTTCCATGCCGAGTAGACCGCACACGTTCACATTTGGAAATGTTTCTTGGTCACAGTAACGTCCGAATTACGACGGTGGGCTTCACTCTCACAGTTTGTAGCGAATTTCTCTTTCGCTGAATCCTCACAGCCACTCATTGAACAGGGATGGGTTTTTGTGGCGAAGTTATAGCCTCACAGGTTACCCAAGTCATTCTCTGTACAGCCTCCATCCAATGAGATGACACACTGTGCATTCAAGAGTGTCAGTGCCAGGTTCAGAACCCCCTCAGGCGCTGGTCCCAAGCCCTTGGGAGCTGAAGGCAACTTGGGGAGTTGGCATTATTCCCATGATACATTTGGCCTGCTCTACCCTACGGTAGGGTGATCGCAACGTGTGAAATGTGAAGAGAGTGAAGAGCAGGGAGTACTGGGAGAGAGGGAGAATATCAGTGATCATACACAAACTTCTTGCTCTGTCGTGCATATATTTTCAGTGTGACAGCGTGTGTTTTGACATGTAAAGGGCTTGTGCTTTTTTTGTTACAGAAAATAACTCGCCCCGAAAAGCTCATTTGGCAAATGTGGCCATGAACACGCATGCGATTGCGTGTGTGTGTGTGTGTGTGTGTGTGTGTAAACTGTGTCATGAGGTGATGTGTCAAGTCCAGTGGGTGTGCCTCCAGGCCCCTCTTCCACTGTCACACCCAGCTCACCAGCAAGGAAAAACTGATGGGTTACACCTGGTCAGTTTGATATTCAGAAGCTTCGGACAGGCTTTCTGAGAAGCTCAGGAAATTCTCCTGGTACTCAGAACAAACAATCTCATAACGGTAATGCCGGAACTCCACGGCGAAGGTGCCAAAGTAGGACAGGAAGCACATGACCAGGCCCCATTGGACCCGGGCTGCGTACATGTGGATGCTCTGGGCCATGAGGATGAAGTCTGGGGAGGGACAGTCAAGGAAAGTACTTCTATCAGCCACGTGAACACCGGGCTCTTTTCTGGGCAAAGACAGGTTACAGGGAAAGCTTGGCTCTGCCCCTCACCAGCAAGAGTTAGCTTGACAGAGGACCTGACACGGACATCTACAGGAACAATGCTTGATCACATTATCGAGCGCTTAACTTTGTGCAGAAATGCTTCTAGGTGCTTTTATGAGAAATCTAACTTACAATCCTCCTAACAACCCTATTGACATCATTAGTTCATTGGTGTGCCTCAGGTGGTTGAGCATTGTTCTGTGCACCGGAAGGTTGCCGGTTCGATTCCCTATCAGAACACATGCCCAGGTGCATAGGGGGCACAGCCGATTGATGTTTCTCATATCAATGTTTCTCTCTTTCCCTTGCTCTCTAAGATCAATAAAAACATATTTTTTTAAAAAATAGGGAAACTAAAAATAAGTAAGAAATAGGGAAACTGAAGCCAAATGGGTAATTTGCCCAAGGTCACATAGGATGTAACTGGTGGACCCAGGATTCAAACACAAGCACTCTGACCCCCAGGCCTTACATTCAACTACTATACTCCATGGCTGCCTAACAAACTGTGAGATTAGCAAGAGTCACAATACTAAAATAAGTAGTTGGCCAGAAAAATAAAGTTATCTTTTTAAAAATCACTGCAAATGACTGTGGATGCATAGTCATCATTCTATCTGCAGAAACCATTTTGAACATATCAAATAGCTAATTAATAGCTCCATACAAGCTGCATTTTCTCTGCAGGGCTACTAATAATGTCTGAGTGGTCTCTCTTCCTTTCCTGTCTAGTTTTCACTATCGTATTTCAGACAATATTGTATAGGTTAGTTTCATTCATTCATGGTGTCACATTTAAAATTGTACCTAAGTGAAAATAATTTAAAAAACAAACAGATAAGGTTCCTGTGCCTGAATATACATGGAATAGTAGGTGTGTTGAGAAAGACTTAGTGAGAGGCAGAGAGGTCAAGTGAACCTCTAAATAACTATTTAGAAAAATCAGTAATACGCCCTTAGAATTAGTTCTATGCTAAGAACTTAGACCTAAGATCTTGGGAAAGTTTCAACCAAGCTTTGCTCTCCAGATTAGACCTGGATCCATTCACTGGGAACCAAGAAATGGCTCCACGTGTTCAGAAATAACATGGATCAGAATCACTTGGTATAAGCTCACACACTCAGAATAATTTAAAGTCTGTACATACTCTTCTGATTAAGGGTTCAAAATATTGCCAAAGCAGTAGTATTACTTTGGTTAATGGGGAAGGAATGAATCTTCAAATCTCATACTGGCAGAGTTCTGACCTTTTCACTCAAAAAATATTCTATTAGGTTGCTAACAATAAAGTTTTTTGGCTTGATTTTCAAATTCTTAAATGTTCTCTAATGCAACAGCAGAACTTCAAAAGAAAAACCAACCAAACAATAAATGACTTAATGGTGATTTGTGAAGGAAGAAGAAATAAAAGACTTCAAATACTCCACTACCTAAAGAACATCACTAAACACTGCATCTTTTTATATTTTAAAGCTACATTCTCTGAGGTGAGGTCATGTATTGAACTAAGCCTGACTTTATTTTTTTATTTATTATTATTATTTTTAAATATATTTTATTGATTTTGTACAGAGAGGAAGGGAGAGAGAGAGTTAGAAACATCGATGAGAGAGAGTCATTGATCAGTTGCCTCTTGTACACTCCCTACTGGGGATGTGCCCGCAACCAAGGTACATGCCCTTGACCAGAATCGAATCTGGGACCCTTCAGTCCCCAAGCCGACGCTCTATCCATTGAGCCAAACCTGTTTCGGCCTAAGCCTGATTTTAAATCAAGATCACCACATACTGTGTGATCCTGGGTAAATTGACCTCGGTGCTTCACTAGTCTTACCTATGAAGATTGAGGACGTTGATACATCTAAAGCAAGCATGTCAATCTTGAGGCCCGCGGTCCACAACTAATATTTTTGCAACCTGGTCAATATAATGGTATGTAAGAAACGTTTTAACAAAAATTTTGTAACTTAATTTTTACAATATCCTGTTATACATAACTCCAATATATAAAAACCCTGGGTCGTAACAACCAGTAACGACTGGAGACTGACCAATGTTGTGGCCCCACCACCAAGCAAGAGGTAAGGGGCAATCAGGCAGGCAGGCAGAATGGTTAGGAGTGATCAGGTAAGCAGGCAAGTGATTAGGGGAGATCAGGTAGGCATACGGCCCCTCACTGGACTGGCCTCGCCCCCAACAAAGAAAGAGGGAAACCTAGGCCAGCTAAGCCATTGCACCCCAGCCTGTCACCTGCAGAGGGAGGCCACTGGTGGCAGGGGGCAGCACTGCACAGAAGGCAAGCAGTGGCAGCAGTGGGGGTGGGACCAGCTGCCTGCAGCCCGGGGAAGGAAAGGTCCGATAGGCCTAGGGACCCTACCTGAGGGGTCCTGGATTGTGAGAAGGTGCAGGCTGGGCTGAGGGACCCCCCAAGTGCATGAATTTTCATGCACTGTCCCTCTAGTTATTAATAACGAACTATCAACATTCACGAATGACTGATTACTATAATCGTGTTGCATTCATTTCCCTCATGTGCAGGCGCACCATTTCTCTCACTAATAATAGCAGTGAATATTTTTGCAGCCAATCGTCACATCATTAGTCTTGTACTGACTTGTTTGGTGTGTGCAACAGGAAATATTTTGCTTTCGGAGAATAAGAAAATAGGTTTATTTGCGTGATGCTTATTAATTTATGCAATTATTCAGTGTCTGGTAAGTTAATGTTCAAGAAAAATATTAATTTTTATTAAAATGTTCTATTATTTTATGTTAAATTAAATGAATTTTTTTCAAGATAGAGGGGGAAAAGTCACAATTTTCTTTTAGTTTATCATTCTATATTTCTCACAAAGGGAAACTTACTTCATTAGTAATTAGGAGAGTGCATGACACCATGTCCACAGAGTGAAACAATCTTGAAATGGCAGAACTTATTTTTATTTTCCGTTCTCCTCTTTGGCCTGAGAGTTTTTATTTTTATACCCATTTCTTTTCTGTTTTATCCGCTATAAGATTCTGAAATGATTTATCTATATCCTAACCAACCCCGGGATGGCAATTTTCTCAGTTATCTGTATTTTAATCTCAGAGGCAAAGAGCCTTTTCACATTCAAAGGATACAGAGGACCACACAGAAAGTGATCAATGCTGAGAGGATAACTCGTGGGATTCCAACTTTGCGTCCTTCATTCTTGATGTTGACTTTGAGTGTCAATGCAGCCTGGATCCAGCATGTCAACGTGCCAAATCCAAAAGTCAAGGAGGTGCCAACGTTATGGATTTCTTCGTCATTCGTGAGCTAAGGGATGAACAGATAAGAACGTATGGAGGCCCATTCAGAAACACCATAGAAGCCAATGGAATAAGTTGAGGGGGGTGGGGGTGGGGGAAATAGTGACAGGCCAACAATGAAATGATGACTTTTAGAAAAGATTAGAGTCCTTCATCTCCACTGGCTCCTCGGGTCAGTTCTCAGTTGGTTTGAACTCTGAGGGGAAGAAAAAAATAAATAGTATCTACGAACTTCAAAATTTTTGTTTGAATAAACATACAAGGCAGTGCTAATCTATTCCTTGAATTTATTTTCCAGAAAAGTTTTGTAGAAAAGTAAAAGAAAAAGGCAGGAAAGTTATACCCCCAAAATAGAGAAATGTCAAAGTTTCTACAAACATACACCCCAAACTTCGTTTTTTGGACTAACTAATGAGACCTGGGATCTGTCTGTGTGTTTACTGATTGAGGGGGGCCCATGCTGAAGAGGTCACTCTTGCACTGGTATAGACTACTAGTAACACCCAGACTGGACATTACTCCTGCAAAACTGGCCTGTCCGTATAGTGTGAACACTTCCCTGTTAATGGGGTTTGTTTGTTTTCCTGTTCTAATAAAACTGCCTCTGAGCTTTTGCCATATCTGTAGACCCATTAAAGGACAACAGTGTTTGAAGATTCGTGGCCACGGCATTTATAGAGCAAATGGGTTAAAGGAGACCCATTTGAGTTATTTCCATTGGGTATTAGAGATGTAATCTCCCTAAATCATCATCCATTGATTTGAAACAGTCATCTGTCACTTAAAGCACCTTTAGTAATTACATATATTTTAAAATACATATTTAGGAAAATAAAATCTATTCTGAAGAGGTGGTTTTTAAAACATGGTGAAAGCCCTGGCCAGTAGCTCAACTGGTTAGAGCATCATCCTGCTTCAAGGTTATGGGTTCGATTCCTGGTCTGGGCACATACAAGAGGCAACTAATGAATGCATAAATAAGTGGAACAACAATCAATGTTTCTCTCTCCCTCTCCCCTTCTCTCCCCCTGCCCCATCTAAAATAAAAAAGTTTTTTTTTTTTAAGTTTGAAAAAAATGTTTAATACATGGTGAAAATCTTTCTTTGATTTACCATTGCCTTCAGATGTTTTATTATTTGACATTCTGTTATCCAATCAATATTACTTTCCTTTTACAAATTTTTCTTTTTTTTCTGTATGATTTCACCCCCTCTTCTTTGGAAGAGGCCACTTTTTTCTCTCATAGTTAAAAAGACATATTTTCAAAACTTATTTTCAAAAATGATTCCTCAAGTTCATTTTTACTTCTAGGAAATTGGTTTTCTAAACTCCATTTATTTATTATTTCAACCTAATTTAAAAAAATAGATAATATATTTACATGGTTCAAACATTAAAAAACTATAAAAAATGGAGATTGAAGTCTGTTTCCCATCCCATATACTAGCCACCTGGTTTTTCCATGGGCTACTCATTTGTTATTTGTTTCCTGTGTATCCTATATTCCAGAAAATTTTTCATATGTAGCATCATGATGCATGGCTTTGGCCAACACAACCTCATCTCTGGGTTTCTCCTAGGACTTTAGTAAAAAGCAAAACGTGTACTCATTAACTTCCATCCAAGTCCTGATTGAGATAAATGATTGGGCCCTTTTCAACATGCCAGCACCTGCAGCCCAGACAAAATCTCGATAAAAATGCCCTGTGTCCTAACATTTTGGAGTTTGATAGAATAAACTCTCCAAAATCTCCTGATAATTCATTGTCCTATGGATACAGCTTCTTGTTGTCCAGCTTGTCAGGGGATGAGACCTAGCATAGTTAGAGGAATTGGTGGACTTGCCTATCTGTCAAAAAGTCCCCGTTTAATGAATCATCAGGACTGAGGGTCAGGACAAGAGACACTCTGAGAATCCACTGCCATGTTTTCTTGGATGTCTATGCCATTTGGACTTCACTCAACAGAAGGGGGAGATGTGTCCAGGATCAGGTGTTTGACGACAAGCGGTAAGTGTCTAGCAGCAGAATATAGCGCAGGGGAGGACGCTGGGAGGGAGTGGAGGCAGGGAAATCAGACAACTACCACAACACTGCAGCAGTCTCCTTGTCTGATTTACAAATGAAGTCATGCAGATCGAGGGTTGGGTGATGGCATTGGCGAGAGAAATTATTCTTAAATGTGGTGACCTTGGCCTTCTAAATTTCTGGAAAGAGGGGTTAGTGTCTCTTTATACAAGTCGTAGGTGTTCTAGAGAAATCCTGGGTTTTCACCTTGAGCTTGCTCATCTGAAATGCAAGCTTTCATCCTAAAAGGGTGCTCAGTGTTTAATCATAGAAAGGCAGTGATCCTATTAGTTTTATAGAAAGGTACATTAGGATACAATTTGTGATGAAAGAAAGTATAAAGCACTTTGAAATCTTTTGTAGAAAATGTACAGCGGTTTTTGTAGTTACTTTTCCCAGCAGCTGTGCTGTATTTCCAACGCAGAGTGAGCACCTCCCCGTGTGTGATGCAGAGTTAGGCAGGCCAGGCTGAGAGACCACACAGGCTGACTGCCGGAGAACCTGTGCAGGCTAGGAACCACTATAGTAATGTTTGGAAAGATTCGTGCAGAATGACATGGGCCACAGAGTGACTGCCCCTCAGCGGCTGTGATGATCCCATGGGAGAAGTGTGAGACGGAGGTGAAAAAGGCCAAATGAAGTACCTGAAAATTACCAAGTAAGGTCATTCCAAAGGAAGACAGACACAGGGCCACCAATCCACTAATATTCAGCCACGGGTTTAAAACCTTTGGTTTCAGTTGTATGAAGCGCAGGACAGCTACCACAAGAGCTAGGGAATAAAAGAAAGTGTTAATGTAGGAAAACTGAAGTCAGACACTCAAGACGATGAGGCAGAGTTCCAAAGCAAAGTTAAACTTTTCACCACAGTGCGTTTTTAAACTTCCGAGATGACAATTTTTAAAAGAAAATTTTCATGCACTGGGCCACTAGTACTTCCATATTTATACAAAAAGCTGAGAGAGATTAGTTACGAATGATAAAAAAGACACTTGCAATTAATGTAAATTATCTATACATATAAAAGCCTAAGCAACCAGGCGATCAGCCAGTAGCTATGACATGCACTGACCACCAGGGGGAAGACTCTCAATGCAGGAGCTGCCCCCTGGTGGTCAGTGTGCTCCCACAGTGGGAGCACTCCTCAGCTAACAGGTGCCAGATGCTGGCTCATGGCTGGCCAGCGCAGCTGTGGCTCCACAAGCCTCTTCTGTGGACACTTTCCCTGCACACCTGAGTGGCGGTGGGGCCGGGATGAGTGGGAATGGTGTGACAGCCAGCCTGGGTTCAGCTCCTCCCCAGCTGCCTGCCATTTCCCACACTATTCCGTGCTGTGCAGGATTGATGCGGACAGTGGGCTGGAGCCCAACGAGCTGGTGAATAAGGTCAGGCTGCGGAAGTTCACTGATCCGTGCACCGGGCCTCTAGTATCTACATAAAAGGAAATGCACTTATAATGTCCTAAAACAATTTCTTTTGATATTAAGGTTTAGCAGGGAAGACAATTAGAAATTCAAGAATTACCCTATTTACACAGCAATTAAGTAGGTAGTTGCATGCTAAAGGTTTTACAGCAATCACAGGCCATTATTAGTAGCCATTAAGAAAGAAAACACATCCATAAATCTGCATTTCCAGGGATGCTAAATTTCATAGTTTCAAGCTACAAAGTTAAGCTCAGTGAATTGGCATTCACTCTCAAGTACCTCTGATCAAAGAGTGGTCTACAACTTGGACAGTATTGGATTTGGGAAACAAAATAGAAATAAATCAAAACTTACGCAATCTCAAATTTCTCTTCTGATTTAGTTCTTAGTATATTCATGTTTTAGCTAATGCCCCTATTGATTATAATATTAATAAATTTCCAACCTCCTTGTTTGAGGAACCTAGTGAGGAGTTATATTATATTAGAAGTCCATTTAAAAAAAATATATTTTTATGTATTTCAGAGAGGAAGGGAGAGGGAGAGAGAGATAGAAATATCAATGATGAGAAAGAATCATTGATTGGCTGCCTCCTGCACACCACTTACTGGGGATCGAGCTTGCAACCCAGGCATGTGCCCCAACCAGGAATTGAACTGTGACCTTCTGGTTCATAGGTTGACAGTCAACCACTGAGCCACACTGGCTGGGCAGAAGTCTATTAATAATGACAATAACTACCCTAGAGGATAAAAAACAAATAGTGCAACTTACTGCTTTTTAGGATGGGAACAGGAGGAGGAAATGGGGAGAGAAGAAATTCAACATAAGCACTCTGACACAAAGTGGCCATCGGACAAAGAAGAATCAATCCAGAAACCCAAACAGGGCACCATGGGAGACACGTGCTAAGTAATCACGTGTGGAGACTGGTCAGGGCATAGGACAAAATATCAAGGTAGCACATTTCATTTCTCCTGACCATGACCAATGGGAAGTATCGCTCTGGGAGCGCTCTGGTTGCCAGGTAGTTTGGAAGAGGATCTGTGCTGGAACTTAGGCCTAAGCACTAAACTGCTGCAGACACTGACCCATCCAGACAGTCTGTTCCACTGTGTCCAGAAGAAGAGTTGAGGGCCATTCTCTGCTTTGCCCATTTCTCTCCAATAAAATCGGGACATGAATCCTGTCTCTTGGTCCCAGCATTGCTAGCCTTCCCATAGGGATGATAAAGGTCATTTTATCATAAACAGACGATGACATTAAGCAGGAAACAGAAACCTACTTGAAGACGAACTCAACCAAACACTCTGAACTTCCAGAATTGCATTCTCAACCCACACTTCGCCCTTTTAACCTATCAATTCCATTGTTAATCCTCTCAGACTGGGTATAATTTCCTTTTAAAAGAGACTCTGGTTGAATTTTAGGGTGATGGGAATACTTAGGCTTAAAGGGAAGCAGACTCTGACCCATCTCTGTTACAAAGTTCATTTCCAACCAAGCAGTGGCTTCTTTATACCTTCTTGATGAAGGGCATTTGGGCAATTTCAGAGCCATCTTGATATATGCTCACCAATTTTAAGTTTCATTAAACATTTTAGATTTTATCAACAATTTTAGAGAAGATTTTAAAAGCCCACCCTCCTGTTGTTTTTGGTGTTTAGAATAGTCCTTTACTTGATAGGTGTCCCCCATTTAATTTCTCTAGTATAAAAGCACACAAATATTTTTTACATTATTTTCTTTACTAATTTTTTTTTAAATTTGAGGCTGATTGGGTTCTTAAAATTCAATTTAAAATAACAGCTCTTCACTGCTGTGCTAAACTGGTACCTGGCCAGGTTCCTTTTGCTTGGCTTAGTTTTATTGTTTGTGCATCAATGACTCCTCTTTATGACTGCAGTAGGATTCGGCAATCAATATGCTTTGGCTGAAGGAGGGAGAGTGGTTGCTTTTAGGTGACTGAAGTCATTCAGTGATTAGCTTTATTCTGTAAACCTCTCCAGGGAAGAAAATAATATTCCCTTCAAGAAATTTGTCTTAGCCTTAGCTGGTTCGCCTTAGTGGATAGCCCATGGACTGAAGAGTTCTGGGTTCAATTCAGGTCAAGGGCACACACCTAGGTTGCAGGTTCAATCCCTGGCCTTGGTTGGGGTGCATGTGGGAGACAACCAATTAATGTGTCTCTCACATCAATACTACTTTCTCTCTCTCTCTCTCTCTCCCTCTCTTTCCCCCTCCCCCTCCACTCTCTCTAAAAGTCAAAGGAAAAATATCCTTAGGTGAGGATTAACAACAACAACAACAACAACAAAACACGGCAAAGAAAAGAACTTTGTCTTAGATATCCCCCCTTCCCCAAGAGAAATAAAGTGTTGCCTGAGGACAAAGAGCATAACTAAGTCAGTAAAGAAAATAATGGAGTATTTGATTTTTGATTAGTCCATCAAAAAGATAAAAGATATTTGGTAGTTTTAATCAATGTTATACCAGCTCATTTGTAGATTGTAAATTATAATCTATTAGAGGCTTGGTGCACGAAATTCATGCACTCGGGGACGGAGGTCCCTCAGCCCAGCTTGTGCCGCCTCACAGTCTGGGATCCTGGGGTCCCTGGATTCACAGGGGGAGTGGGCCTAAGCTGTCAGTTGAACATCTTTAGCACTGCTGCGGAGGTGGGAGAGGCTCCTGCCACTGCTGCTGTGCTTGCCAGCCATGAGCCAGGCTTCTGGCTGAGTGGTGCTCTGGTCGTGGGAGCACATTGAGTGTCTGCCCCCTGGTGGTCAGTGAGCGTCATAGTGACCAGTCATTCCATCGTTTGGTCGATTTGCATATTAGCCTTTTATTATATAGGATACAGCTGGCAAAAACCAGTGACTTATAGGCAGTGCAGGTTGTTTCTTAAAGTCATGTATGTCATCTAAGGTAATAGTCTGAGGTTGAACAGGTAAGCCTGGGGAGATGGATGTGCCCACGGGTCCAAGCAAGAATCATCAGTAAATGAACTTTCATCCCCAGCATTGATAAATAAATAATTGTTGGTTTACTCCCACTGAAGACTAATCTTTTTTTTTTTTTTTTTTTTTTTTAAGGGAGCATTTATTTATTTTAAAAAGTCTTTTTAAAATTATTTTTTAATTGATTTCAGAGAGGAAGGGAGAGGGATAGAAAGATAGAAACATCAATGAGAGAGAATCATTGATTGCCCCCCCCCCCCAATGCTCCTTACTGGGGGGGTAGGGGGGGGTGGATGGAGCCCACAACCCGAGCATGTGCCCTTGGCTGGAATTGAACCTGGCCATTCAGTCTACAGGCCGACATTCTAGCTAATGAGCCAAACCGGCTAGGGCTGAACACTAATCTTAATCAGTCTTATGTCTACCAGATGGCCCTAAAAATGATGAGAGATAATAAAGAATAGACACTGGCCGAGACCGGTTTGGCTCAATGGATAGAGCGTCGGCTTGGGGACTGAAAGGTCCCGGGTTCGATTCTGGTCAAGGGCATGTACCTTGGTTGCGGGCATATCCCCAGTGGGGGGTGTGCAAGAGGCAACTGGTGGATGACTCTCTCTCATCGATGTTTCTAGCTCTCTATCTCTCTCCCTTCCTCTCTGTACAAAATCAATAAAAAAAAAATTAAAAAAAAATTAAAAAAAAAATAAATAAAGAATAGACACTGGATGCTGTAATACTTTAGAGCAGGAAAGTGAGTAAACACTTCATTGCTCCTTGGTGGAGTGGGAGAGGACGGGTGGTGACAAGTGCCCTCTGGAAGAGAGGAGCTTGTTTTCATGGCTTTGTTTTTGGAAATGCTTTTATAACTAGTTAATCATGGCTTTACAACGGGACACATTTGTGAGCTGTGAAAACTGCTATTTTTTAGATGATACACTAAGGACTACTGGGGAGTAACTGATTTTTTTTTCTCAAGGATATGAAGGAAACAGTATATGAGTTCTAACGTGCTCATTGGTTTCTTCAAAGCCCAACTGAGGACAGACGGATGTGACCGCTTTTTCTATAAGGGCACCCTCCTCTGTATCGTGATTGGATGAGGTCGCATTTGCAAAGCTCGCAGCACTGTGCCTGGAATCCAAATGACGGCCATTAATTATTGTTAGTATTGCACCTGTGGGGGTGCTCGTAGGAGCAGGTACCCACCTGCAGGCCTACATGGTGTGACTGCAGAGGGGCTGGGGAAGGTCCCTCACACTGCGATGGAAGATGCACTCTCGGGCCTCTGTGCTCTATTAAACGCAAATATCTCCTTAGCAGTCCTGTGTGCCTTGGTCCGCCTAAGCTGATTAGATCTCTTCAGAAGAGTGGTGTCAAGAGTAGGAAAAAAGTGCAAGTACAAAGCTCCTGGCAACTCTGAGTGAAGGGACTGAACACAAAACCTGAAGGACAAGAATGGGCCTAGGAGCTTCATTAAAGATTCAGGAACCCGGTGTCAGGCTGTGTCTCACCTCCTCCTCAGAGCTGGCGGAGCAGCCCCTGCCTCAGACGCTGCCTGCTCAGGGAACAGGGCGTGCTTTGGGAAGCCTGCCCAGGGCACGGTTGGCTCCAGGGGCAATCGAACCGTAGGCAAGTTCAAGAGAGGCCTCTTGGGCCTCACGGGCACGTTCTCTGTGTTTCTCACGTTTTGAACCCTCTGAGCTAACGTTCTGCCTGGGTTTCATGTTGGACCAACCCTCTCTCTTGATTTTCCGATAAGGCCTACAGGTGTTTCCTTTTCCTATAGCAAACATTAAAAAAGAACACATTAAGCCCAGCCAGCATGGCTCAGTGGTTGAGCATTGACCTATGAACCAGGAGGTCACAGTTCGATTTCCGGTCAGGGCACTTGCCGGGGTTGTGGGCTTGATCCCCAGGGTTGGGGGTGCAGGAGGCAGCCAATCAATGATTCTCATCATTGATGTTTCTATCTCTCCTCTCTCCCTCTCTCTTCATTTCTGAAATTAATTAATAAGAACATATTAAGAGTGAATTGAGCTAAGTCCCATATGATTTTACATATGTTTGCCAGAGGGAAGGGGTAGGGGATGTAAGAAGTCCTAATATAAGGTGAAGGGAGAAGAATTGTCTTTGGATGTGAGCACACAGTGCAATATACAGATCTTGTAACGTAGAAACCTATACCTGAAACCTGTTTGATCACATTAACCCATGTCCCGCTAATAAATTTAATATAAATAAAAAATAAAAATAGAAGCCAAATTATAAGCTAAAAAAGGTGAGTAGAATAATTTGGGCAGGGTAGGGCAGGCGGGAGAGGTGGTGGTGGTGGTGGTGGTGGTGGTGGTGGTGGTGGTGGATTGTACATAAATGAAATAACAGGTCACCTCTTAGGAAGACAGATGCTAAAAAGGCTGAATACTTCCTCAGTAACAATATCACCTTTATCTCTCACAAGGAGTGAAAAATCTCACCTTCCAAAAGAACCTTTTCCAGAAAACCACTGCTGAAATATTTAGTTGTCCCGGCCTGTCCCCCACAGCAGGCTAGTGAGGACAGTTGGTTGACCCTTAAAAGACACTGGGAAGGCCTGGCCTTGAGGAGATGACAGGTAAGGCCGGCTGGAAAAGAACAGGGAACGTGGCTGGTTCCCACGATCCCCAGAGGACCACGAGGACATAGAAGCTCTCACAGAACAAAGGAGACGGGTATTAAATGAGTGTCTTGGGCCCTGAAGGAAAATTGAGGATTTGGGGACAGACATGAGTATAAAAGTTATCTTTCTTTCTTTAAAAAAAATATTTTTTATTGATTTTTTACAGAGAGGAAGGGAGATAGAGAGTTAGAAACATTGATGAGAGGGAGTCATCAATCAGCTGCCTCCTGCACACCCCCTACCGGGGATGTGCCTGCAACCAAGGTACATGCCCTTGACCGGAATCGAACCCGGGACCCTTCAGTCTGCAGGCTGACACTTTATCCACTGAACCAAACTGGTTTTGGCTTTCTTTCTTTCTTTCTTTCCTATTTTTAAATATGTTTTTATTAACTTCAGAGAGAGAAAGGGAGGAGAGATAGAAACATTGATTGGCTGCCTCCTGCATGCTCTCTACTGGGGATTAAGCCCAAAACCCAGGCCCTGACTGGAAATTGAACCGTGGCCTCCTGGTTCATGGGTCAATGCTCAACCACGAAGCCACACTGGCCAGGCTTCTACTTCTTCTTCTTCTTCTTCTTTTTTTTTTTAAACTATGTATCCATTTGCCAGCTTGATATGTACATAGGATAGACACAGTGGAGAGCATCATCTTTAAAAAAACAGTATCTGCACACATCAATATTTATCACAGAGCCTAGGCATTTTTCATTTTTGCCAGTGAAGAAATAAATAAGGCATTCTTTTTAAAGCAAACATATTGCACAATATTACATTCTCATGCAAGATTTTATGTAATGTGAAATATATTATTTCATGCAGCAAAAGAAATAAACTCAAGAATACACTGAAATTATAAAGATGATGAAGAAATGAGAAAATGAAACATAAACAGGGTGAACATAAAAGGATTTATGAGAAAAAAATACTCTCAATACAAAAAGCTTCCCCATACTATGATCCCAAATTATCAACTAAGCCTGCCATGCTTTTGATATGGGCCTTGGAGAACTGAAGATAAATTAGAAATATACCAAAGCACAAAAAGAATCCTTTATTATCTTCTTACCTAGGAATGCTGCCATGTTCATGACTTGACTAAACACACAGCTTGCAGGAGGTTGGTCACCTGCAATACTTGAAAAATATGAAATGTTTTTTTATTATTACTATGCTAAAGTCTATAACCCTCTACAAAGGACTAAAATTTGTGTGCTGAAATCCTAATTCCCAATAAAATAGCATTAGGAGGTAGGACCATTGGGGGTCATTAGGTCATGAGGGTGGAGCCCTCATGAATGGGAGTAGTGCCCTTACAAAAGGGACCTCGTTTGTCCTCTTTCCATCCTGTGAGGATCCAGTGGGAAGATGCTAGTCTATAACCCAGAAGAGGACTCTCATCAGGGCCTGACCACGCTGGCACCCTGATCTTGAACTTTTAGCCTCCAGACTATTAGTGTGTGAAATAAATTTGTGACTTATAAGTCACCCATTCTATGCTACTTTGGTAAGTAGCCCAAATTAAGCCACTCCCCCTGTAACCTTTTCATAGATGAGAAGAGAATTATCAAGTTACCTTATATATGGTGCATGCTTCACACCAGGTTTCCTGGAAGACAGAAAACATAGAGGTTCAGGTTAAGTACAGTCATCTGTGCACAGTTTAACCTCACCAACTGTCAGGTCTATTGGTGAACAATGAATCACCCAGAGATAAACCTACCTTTCAGCTGAATTTAATGGGAAAATTTTGTCATCTTCCACAGCTATAAAGTATCTATGAAAGAAAAATAAATGTTTATAAAACTAAAAAAATTTAAAAAACAAACAAACAAGAATCATTTGTTTCCAGTTTTATTAGACTAATCACATTAAATCCTATTCATTTTTCTCTAACTAGGAAAATGCTTTTACTCTAATGCTTTTTACCTTTAGATCATACAGTTCTTTGAAGCTCAAATGTCATTCTTCCCCCCCCCCCCCCACTTTTATTTTTATTTTTTTGCTAGCTGTACCCGGCCACGCATTGCTGTGGCTCAGTCTTGTTAAATGGAAAAGAAAGAAAAGAGAAAACACATGTTTCTAATATGTTTAATTTCATAATGTTGTGGGTATGCAATATTTTTTGTTGTTGTTCCCTTGTCTGGGCAGATATAGAGATTGTTTGGTTTGCCAACTCTAGGACACACAACATATAATTGTCCATGTAAGAAGCAATCCATGTCTAGATCTAAACGGCACAATTCTAAAGATTGGCCCTGAGCTTTGTTGATGGTTATTGCAAACGCCAATCGAATGGGGGAATTGCAATCTCTTAAATTGAAATGACATACCCGTTGGAATCATAGGAATGAGAAGAATGAGGACATCTTCACCTTTGAAAGATCCTGTCAAAATTGTTGTTTCTACGACATTGCTTTTTTTTTTTTTTCTGCAAGCTGCATGCATTGCAAAGCTTTGGCTGGTTGATATTTCTCAACGTGATAATTAACATGCCAATTTTCAATTGCAGTACATGCGGTGGCGTCCCTGGCAGACTGAGACGGTCTTGTATGTGACTGCCTCGGTTTGAATGTTAGACTGAATAATATTGTTAAGTTCATAGATGTCTTTGTTATTGGCTGCAAGAATAGCTCGTTTGCTCAGCCAATTGTGATTTTTATAATTGGTTTGAATATTGGGAAGTACTTTTCAACCAATTCTTCTTTTGACATCACTAAATTGCAAAAGTTATGAGGCAATGAAATTTGTCCTGAAGTCAGATCAACCTGCACCTTTCTGTTCCCAATTTCCAGCAATTAATGTGAGAATATCTCAGGTGACTGATCATTTTGCAGCTGGACACACATATTTGTAGTTAATTTTAATGTCTTTACATGTTGCCACAAAGTAGTGTATTTCAGGCAAGCATTTATTTCATTCGTTGGTGTCGAAATGTCATTCTTAATAATATTAATTTAATTTTCAAAACATCCCCCAAATTAATGGAAATAATTATAAGCTGAAAACTGGAAATCAAAGAAATGAGACCTTACATCTTTGGGCAAACTAAAATTCGAATTCAAATTTTCTAATTTCTCACTGCACCTTTCTTAACAACTGCAAAGAACTAAAATAACCTTCTACAAGTGAATAGTAATTGAAATAAGCAAGAGTGGGAACATTTTGTGATAAGACAGGACTTCCAATGTAATGATACCCATTGTATAAACATATCAGACCCAGTCACACAAAAACCACCCTGGACTATGAACTGGACTGTCATAAAATCTTTAGGATGTTAGTGTCTTGCAAATAATGAATCCATATGACTAGTGATTAGGATGTTTATTACTAGAAGGACACAGGAATACAAGAGACTAGTATTCTTCACTACTGCTTTGCATAATTTATTACTCTTGTTACTTTGGGTAACAGAAGAAGCGAAGAGAAATGGGAACTTTAGCAAGGCTGAATTTGTAAACGTTTTTAAAAAGTTTATAAACATATAGGAGGCCCGGTGCATGAAATTCGTGCATGCGGGGGGTGGGGCGTGTCTCTCAGCCCAGCCTGCACCCTCTCCAATCTGGGACCCCTAGAGGAATGGGATCCTAAATGGGCGGTCGGACATCCCTCTCACAATCCAAGACTGTTGGCTCCCAACTGCTCACCTGCTTGCCTTCCTGATTGCCCCTAACCGCTTCTGCCTGACAGCCTGATCACCCCCTAACCACTCTCCTGCCAGCCTGATTGATGCCTAACAGCTCCCCTGCCAGCCTTATTGCCCCCAACTGCCCTCCCCTGCAGGCCTGGTCCCCACCAACTGCTCTCCCCTGCAGGCCCAGTCGCCCCCAACTTCCCTCCTCTGCCGGCCTGGTCACCCATAACTGCCCTCCCCTTCAGGGTTGATCACCCCCAATTGCCCTCCCTTGCAGGCCTGGTCCCTCCCAACTGCCCTCCTCTGCTGGCCATCTTGTGGCAGCCATCTTGTTTCCACATGGGGGCAACCATCTTTGACCACATGGGGGAAGCTATCTTGTGTCTTGGAGTGATGGCCAATTTGCATATTACTCTTTTATTAGATAGGATTCCTCTAGATATTCCATAGGCTATCAAAATCACATTGTTATCTACATTGCACCTCAGTTCTTAATAAATAAGAGGGTACTTACACTATCCACAATCCAGCCGAAGTAAATAAAGTAAATACAAGAGGTAAAAACATCCATACGCTGCATTTCTTCCCATCCATTCCTGTTCCACTGAAAGACAATGAACAGGTATTATCATAGTAACAAAGACAAAATGTATCTGACTCAGGACAGATAGGAAGTTTACTTTCATTGAAAAAGAGTGCATTTTATGAAACCACTAGAGGCCTAGTGCACAAAATTTGTGCATGGGAGGGGGGGAGAAGGGGCATGGTAGGAGTCCCTCAGCCCAGCCTGCACCCTCTCATAGTTTGGGACTACTCGCTCCTGCCTGCTCACTCGTCTGCCTGCTTGATCACCCCTAACCATTTGCCTGACTGCCTGATTGTCCCTAACTGCTTCTGCCTGTCTGTCTGATGCCCCTAACTGCTTGCCTGCCTACCTGATTGGCCCTAACCACTCTGCCTGCCTGATCTCCCCTAACCACTCACCTGCCTGCCTGATTTCCCCTAACCACTCTGCCTGCCTTCCTGATTGCTCCTACCTGCTGGTCTGCCTGCCTGATTGCCTCTAACTGCCTCTGCCTTGGCCCCCACTGCCTCGGCTTCATCCAGAAAGTCATCTGGAATGATGTTGGAAGGTTGTTTGACTCTCTGGTCTAATTAGCATATTATGCTTTTATAGTTATAGACGGTTCTACATTACAACCACCTACATGAGAAATCCTTGCACAGGTAACATGGATGATTGTTATCCTGCATTAGCTCAGATATTCCAGAATCTTCGTTGAGAATTAGTAGAAAATTTCTAATTATGACATTATTTAAGAAACAAAGCAAAAATATATAAATAAACCCCCTCCCACCAAAACGAAGTGGAAAGCAGAGCTTCAGAGGTGCCTATGAAAAATGATTGATAGAGAACAGAAAGAAACAACTATCGCTTTACTTCTTTGCCCAAAACCATAAGAGAAAATCTATTTGAGACACTGGATGCCAACAATCTTTAAGGCAAAAAATACTGGTTCCTGGAAAATAAAATTCCCTCGTGATTTCCACAGGTGACCTGATAGGCAGAAGGATATGGGATTACATAGAACCTCTAGGGAGAAATTGCTGCTCATTGTTTTGGGTTTTATAATTAACTGGGGAAAGTCTGTTTACTGGGGTTTGAACCAGTTCTGTCAACATTTCTGGTCACTTCCATGGTATCTACTTCCATAATGCTGATATTCCAAGTGTTGAGAACAGAGAGAGAACATGGCCCTCCTGTTAGTATGGAGCCTAAGGTGCCAGGAAGGTCTGGCATTGAGGCCGGCTTTGCCCAGGCAGGTACCCAGAACCCAGGTTTTGTCAGGAAGGACATCCAGTCTATGTGGTCTAATTAGCATATTACCCTTTTATTAGTATAGATTGATTGCAAGTGTTTTTAAAGCTGGGGTCTGGGGGAAGCCGCCTGGGGGAAGCCACCTGGGGTCCTGGGTGCTTGCAGTTGTGGCTGACCTGGGAAAAGCCGGCCCGGGGTTCTGGGTACCTGCCTGGGCAAAGCTGGCCTCAGTGCCAGGTGCCTGTGGCCGCCAGAGGGAGAGAAGCCCGGGTCTCAGGTTCCTGCAGATGGCAAGAGGGAAGAAAGCCTGGGTCCTGTGTGCAGGGGCCGAGGCAGAGGCGGTTAGGGGTGATTAGTCAGGCAGGCAAGCAGTTAGGAGTCAGTGGTCTTGGATTGTGAGAGGGTGCAGGCTGGGCTGAGGGACGCCCCCTTCCATGCACAAATTTCGTGCACCAGGCCTCTAGTTTAATATTATCTAATTCATTGCAATTCACAAGAATGCCACCTACTTGTTGCAGGTACTATAATTTAGAGTGTTGGAAATATTTAGGTGAGATCTAATGAATACAATATATAAAAACTAGTGTATGAATTATGATTACTCAGAGTATGTAGTGTGGAAGAATGATAACTATTCTAAGCATACAGAATTAGTGAGTGAGTGTCCATTTATTTATGTCTAGAAATCATTATGCTAAAATAGTCCCATCAGTTAGCTAAGCTGTAGAGGGAGTATAGAAAGCTGTTGACTGAGCATGTAAACCAAATTATTCTGGACCTGCCCCTGAAATGGGCTGCTCCAACAGGATGAGCACAGCTGAAATAGTTACATTGGAATAAGAGTTAGGACACCAAGGTCTCAACCATAGCTTTGCCCATAACTGACTCAATGCACCTGAGTAAGTTACTTAAATCTGTAACACCATTTCCCTTCTCACTGCATGAAGATTATTGAAATCAAAGAGAGGAAGACAGACATCCAAGACTGAGGCCTCACAGGGTGATGTGCTTGTAGGTTAAGCCAAGTTCAGTAGCATATCTTTGCAGTAACAGAATGCTCCAATATGCCCAAAGTGATCAGCCCCAGAAGAACTTGTGCCTATAAACCATTTTAAAAACAGACTGGTGAAGAAACTGCAATGCCAACTTATTTATGTACACCGAGAAACACAACTGCCAAATGGACAGATACATTGGCTCCTCTTTTAGGAGCGTCTATATGGGAAATCAAAATTTGGAATCAGGAAAGTAGAGTGAAGAGAGTTGAGATAATTCTAAGACCATGGTATCAAGTTACAATAGCTTTCTGTGCTAATTTACTTTAGAGGAAGCAGCAGGGTGTAATGGGAATGGGGTGGCAATGCGCAGGACCAAAACCCAGTCCTGCCGAGCACTAGCTGTCTGATCTCTAACAAGTTATTTCATTTCTTAAGCTTAATTATGGAGATAACTGCCACTTTGCCTTTATTTAGTGCATAGACTGTTACATAAAAATAGTTGTATTAGGAGGGGAATGGAAGGGGGTAAATGGGAGATACCTGTAAGCTTCAGTGTGTTGTTCTGAGATTAATGATGAACATCATTAATCATAATTAATTAATCATTATTATTAAATATCAATAATTAATGATTAATGATTAAGGTAACACTGCATACATACTATTAACACAAGTTCCGTAAGTGGCAGCTCTGCCACCACTAACTCTAAGGACAATGTTAGGACGAGGTCCCCTCCCTCCAAAGCAGGGCTCAGGACAGCCGGACTCTCTTCTTCTCTGGCTCCTGCTTTTCCAGGATGCAGACACCCTTCCTGGTAGGAAGTTTCTTTCTTCAGATGGCTCTCCCCCAAAATGAGTGAATACCTTTAACTGTGCACACATATGAAGGCCTACCTTCCTCAGAGTCTTCTCTGTGGGTACTTTCCACTATGCATTGCTTTTCTCATATTTTTGTGAAAGCATTTAATGACTACTCTCCTTAATTATTTTATTATTGTTAGTTTAACTCTCATACGTCAACCTCATCTCCAAATTCTGGAAAAATCATATTATACCCCCTGTTTAAGGGTAGCTGAAATTGTCCTTTTTTATTTTTATTTTTTTTAATGCAAAGGGATGCCTTGAGAGGTGAAACGAGTAAGTGTATGGATAGCTGTATTATTACCTTCCACTACTTGGGGTCTTCTTCAGGACTTTTACATTGGTTATGCACCTCCCTTTTTTTAATTTTGGAAATAACCGTAAGTTCACGTATGAGACATAGTAGAGAGAAATCCTGTATATCCTTCACTCTCTCTCCCCAATAGTAACATCTGTATAACATGAACCACCAAGATATTGACATCTGCACAACATGAACCACCAAGATATTGACATTGATACATCATTTGATTTCATTAGTTTTCCATGCGCTCCTTCCTGTATTTAGTTTTATACAAATTTTGCCATGTGTGCACATTTGTGTGATCACCAACACAGTCGAGTACAGAACATACAAGTGTTCCTAAAGGGGCGCAAAAGTTCCCGTGTGTTGTTATATAACCATACTACTTCCTTCCCCCAAACCCTCCTTCCTACCCTCTGACAGCCACTAATCCTTTCTCCACTTCTATAATTTTTATCATTTCAAGAGTGTTATACAAATGGAATAACCTTCGGGATTGACTTTTTTCACTGAGCCTTCATCTGAGAATTCCTTGGAGATTCATGTAAGGTGTGTGCTCATCAGTGGTCTGGTGTCTTTTATTCTTTGGTAGTCTTTCATGCTATGGATGTACCCAGTTTGTTTATTCACCGATGACAGCATACCTGGTTGCTTTAACTTTCTGTCTATTGCAAATAAAGAAGGTATGTAACGGAGACGTAAAGCACAGCTTAGGGGATGCAATAATCTGTATCATAACAGGCCTGAGATTGTGATGCCATCACAGTGTCAAGACCAACTACCGAACTCACCAAGGGGTGCATTGATGGGTCTGGCGGGTGGCCACGGCGGGGGTGGGAGGTGGGGGAGGGAAGGGTTGGAGATGGGGGAGGGGGAGAGGGACTCCTGGGTCCCATGGCCCGGCTGTAGCGCACGGGACTTCTGGAGCATCGCAGGCTGCCAGCAGCATCCTCAGAGTGTGCGAGGCTTGCAGGGCGGCAGACATGGCCCTGATGGCAAGTTAGGCCTAGGGGACCCTACAGGTGCAGGTGGGTACTAGGGGTATCTGGAGGGACACTTTGTAAAGTATATGATTATCTAACCACGGTGCTGTACAACTGAAACTAATACAAAAGAATATTGAAATAACTGTCTCACCAGCTGTGTCTGATTTGCCAATTCTGAACGGATGTTCTCTGATTTAGTTGTTCCTTCTATCTGCTCTGGGACAAGGCGCAGGGCATGTCTGCCTATTTGGCCACCATTATTCCAAACTTATATCCTCTTTGGAGATATGTCTACTCATGTCTTCTGCACATTTTAAAATTGGGTTGTTTTTTGTTGTAGGAGTTCTTTATATATTCTGAATATAAATCCCTTATCACATTCATGATATACAAAATTTTCTCCCATTAGGTGAGTTGCCTTTTTATTCTGCTGAGTGTGTCCTATAATGCCCACAAATTTTTAAAAAATATATATTTTATTGATATTTCACAGAGAGGAAGGGAGAGAGATAGAGAGCTAGAAACGTCGATAAGAGAGAAACATCGGCCAGCTGCCTCTTGCACACTCCCCACCGGGGATGTGCCCACAACCAAGGTACATGCCCTTGACAGGAATCGAACCCAGG